GGCAAGTACATATTCTTCGTTCTATAAATAGCTTCTCGTTCAAATTTAATTTTTCTTCTTTTAAACAATGGTTCTCTATTGATAGATGATGAAAAATATTTTAATATTGAATTATAACTTGTGTACAGTCTTCTTGATTACTGTTAGGGCTCTGCTCCTTGAAAGGGTGATGAAAAGCAAACTGTAACTTAATGGTATAGCACTGAGAGATCTTCGGACCTGTCTTAGTGAAACAGAGCAAGAGGTAGGCAAGCTAACATAGATAATCAGTACCCAAGAGCGATGAAATATACACCGGATAGTAATGAAATGGCTCTTGATGCAGGAATATATTTTAAAAAATAGAATGAATATAATATAAATGGAATCACAAAAAAAGAAAAAATCAGTTAAGCGAAACTCTTGTTTGCTTTTGAGCGAATACACGAACTTGATTTTGCAGACGAAGTACAAAAATCAACTTCGCTGCTGTCCTAGGCGACCAAACGTACGGTAATTCTATAGAAATCTTATGTAAACCAGTCGATAGAAATGAGTAAGACATTGATAAGATTCTTCTCAGAATTCGGTGAGATAGATTATATAATTAGTTTAGAAGAGTTCATAAGATTTTGATAAGTTAACATAAGAACTTTTATTTACATCAATTAAGGCGTTTGACTATATGCAAACTAAATGGACAACCCTGCATCATACAGGATCCTACGAAACACAGGAAATCGTTTAGGAACCTATCAAATGCTATGAATTCGTATACAGAATTACTAGAATGTTGACAGAATTATATTGAGAGAGATTTATATTTTGCTAGAAACAACTCATTAAAATATTTTTCGAAGATAAATTTTCTGTTACGATCAATCAAGAAATTTTTGTCTTTGAACACTGGTTATTGAATGATGAGTCATGTTAGTAACTGCACATGAAGTTCTTTTATAATTACTTATAGTGCTTTATTAAGACAGGTATGAAAAGAGCATATTAGTAGTATTCAAGCTGCTCTATTTTCTACTCCTCAGAGAGTCCGAATTGAATCCGATCTTCATAGAAAAAAAATATCGCAAGTAGCGCATTTTTGAAGAAATCAGTTGGAAAAATTTAAACAAAGAAGTAACGTGTCATGCCCTATATTCTCGTCTCACATATTTTTACTTTTTCGATATTCATTTCTTCCTATAGTCATAATAGATTTGCGGAAGTAAATTCGGTCTAAAAGCAGAAGACAATGAGGACGAGTCATGAGACTGTCCACGTGGGACTAAGATCTTATTATAGAAAAATTAAATAAGCGGAAAGAAAATTATTTTATTCACGTATGAATCAGTAGATTATAGTAAGAAAGTAGAATATAGGGTACACTAATGAATGTGGTGAAATTGTCATATCACCGGATCGAACAATTTTCAAAGCTTGTTCGATCAAAACCGATTGTAGATTCGTCTTCTCCATGATTGATTATGTGGTACGCGATAACTTCTGGATCGGGGTACTTTAGAAAAAATTTTCGACATCGTTTTGCCTTTGGTCCCCATACGGTAACATTTTGAAAAATTTTTAAGCAAGACCACGGGAAAAATTTTTTCTAAAGTACTCCGATCCAAAAGTTATTGCGTACCACACAACCATGGAGAAGACGAATCTGCAATCGGTTTCGACCGAACAAACTTTTGAAATTTTTCGATGCGGTGATATGACTATATCCTTCCTATAAGATTCTTATCAATATCTTACACATTTCCATCGACTGCCTTTTTAAGAAATTCATAAGATTCTTGCATATGTTCTATTAAATTCCTATAGAAATCTTATATAAAAGTTGATCTGTAGGGTCTTCCTTATATAACAGGCTAGCAGGCTGTAATGACCTCTAAGAGACTGAAGCTATAATGAAGTTTAGGATATATGCTGTAAGCGACAGAATAGGATAGGGATTACTCTAGTTTATTTTAATATACAAACTCAGATAGTACGGATTCATCTGTGTATATCATATAGTTTTTGTATACGTCATTCGACTTATCTTTCTCAAGATAAAAAATTCCAGAAGTGTGTGTGTGAGTTCTGTTGCGGTAGCTGGCTTTAATATTCATTGCTTGTCAGAATTAAATAAATATCAACGCTGAAAAACTTGAAAACCATAGTTATAGTAAGTTCCTGGTAGTTTATTTACAAGTAAATGCATCGGCAAAAAAGAATTAAGCAAATTTGTACGCTGCCAGTGACTTTGATAGATGTGGATTTAATAGTTCACACTTATCTTGACCAGCAGCTCCTACTACCACATGTAACGGAATCAAATGATCCTCGCGACCATGATTTTCTCGTGCATATGGGAGCCTAGTCCAGTTGATCATTGTTTCTTCTCTCTCATTTGGTGACAATGTCTGTAAAGTGTTTGTGATTGCATCAACAAACTCGTTAATTTGTTCTCGAGAAGCTCGTCCATGAGTGATTGACCCAGATCCAATAATTAATACTCCTTGTTCTCTTAAGGGTGACAGGGCTTTACCTATAGCAACATGTTGTTCAGGTGAATAAGTATCGAGAATGGACATACTAACAACCGGAATATTGGCATTTGGATACATGAGTTTCAACGGAATAAACACGCCGTGATCAAAATTTCGTTTAGAGTTTAGCACGGCACTAATATTCGACTTTTTTAGTAAGTCGAGAACTTGCTGAGATAATTGAAGATCACCTTTTGGTTGAAATTTAATTTCATATGTTTCTTTTGGAAAGCCACCATAATCATAATATAAATCAGTGTGTTGAGCTTGGGCACTAATGTGGACCACATCAGAACTTTCCCAATGGGCACTGACCAATAGAATTGCTTTTGGTTTATGTTGGTCACTTTGACCGATTTGGTGAGGTAACTGTCTGAACCATTTGGCACCGGCGCTGTTTTTGTCGATGTTAGCAAACGATGGAAAATCTTTACCATCCATAAACCAACAAGGCCCACCTCCATGGGTTACATACATGGCAGGTTGTTTTGATGACGACATGCTGCAAAGAAACCATAAGTTTAAGGATTATCAAACCTGAAGTCTCTTACCTCAACAAACTGTTCTTTTACTTGTCAGTCTAATTAATCAGGCTAAATTTGTCACGCTCATGGATGTAAAAGGTCAGATCTTGCTGCATCATCGTGCTCAACACTACCAGTTAGATTGGAAAAACGTAACTTATTGTGCTACGACGTATCAGAGCTATTTGAGTATTTTTGTGTTACCATAGTATTTCGGTTAGACGCATGTTACTGTTTTGCCTATAGAAGCAAAAGCTGTCTTTGTGTTATAAAGCTGTATAGGTCTTTGACGTTATACTGCCTCGAAGTTGGCTGTAGTGAGACGAGTAAAAATACAGATGAGATTAATAACGAACGTTATACTTTTTTATTCTCTTTCTATAACGTCAAACAAAAATTATTTTCTTTTTTCCAATGTTTTTCATGTGTAGTAGTGTTTCATTTGGACGAAAGGAGAAGGAATCACTCATAAAATTTGCCGGTTCATTCTCTAATGAATGTGATAGTAGTGAAAGAAACGCGAATAAAGTTGCTCATTTTGTCTCGTTCCATAGTCACATGCAAAAAAGAAAGAAACGACGTTTATATCTTACAAAATGTGTAAATGTGGTAGTGATTCCTTACCAACACTATCTCATTCCTAGAGACAAAACAACATCGATTTTACGCAATAAGCATAAATGAATAGATGAAGAAATAGATGGAAAAACCTCTAGTAAAAATATAGCATCCATTTTGGATTTTTAGGCATTTATTTTTAGCGGTTTTGATGTACATTTCTAAAAATCTGAAATTTCTTCAACTACTCCAATCACTTTTTGAAAAATATTTAGCCATTATGATTCATGACCAACGAAAAAAAGTTAAAGATACAGGTGTACTTTTGGCCTTCACTGTAAAAGCAAAGTGCAAAAATTTTTCTGTCAAACAATAAATCAAAATACTCATACTCGTTGTTCATATATTTATGCTTTACTTTACATGTTTACATATGATTTTTTTGACATAATGAGACGACAAAAACTGGTGCTTTTAATAAATGTCATTTTTACAAACTACAGGCGTCCCTACTATATAGACAAACGGCAGACTTAGTTGTCATCTCTCAAATATGATTCTGCTTGATATATTCTTTATTTCTTCTCTTGCTAATCTTTCACTTTTTAAACTGGTAAGCTTCATCTCACATTTAACATAAAATAACGATACTATTATAAAATGCATTTAGAAAAATTTCAGTTTCTAGAAATACCTTGTTACTTGATGTGTAAGTTTCCAATGATAATGGTTGGAATTAGTTCACAGAATGAAGAAACATATATAATATATATGTGTACACGCTCCAGTGGAACAGAATGACATTGCAAAAATTTTGATGGCAGAATGAACAAAAAGAGCATCGTAATGGTGAATAAAACAGTGAAGGATATGCGTCATTTTTGATTCATAGATCTGTCAAATTCAGAGACGCAAATGTTAATGTACATTCGTTGAAGATTTGACATTGTCGAGCGAATATAGAAAATGAGTGTACATTATTCCATAGTTTGATTATTAGAAATTTTTTGAATGTTTCATTCTAGAAATATTAAAACGTATTCACTTTTGTCTGTCGTTTTAGACTGTGAGCGTTTATAAAACAGAATGTTGTCTCCTTATGATAAAACATTTTAAGCTAATTGCTTGATTGAATTAGAAATTATTTGAAACAGTATATGAAAACCCATAGGTTTGTTGTCGGTGAAATTCATTACAAAGATCGTCCGACAACATTTAATTAAAAAGAGAGACAAATCTTGAGGGTACCGACAAAGTAGTAATAGCCGGTTCCCAGATTGTGCTGAATAATAAATGAACTAATTTGCAAAAACTATCTTTAGTACAGGTGCAGACAATATGTCGCGAGGTTTGCGCTGCAGATAACCCACTAGGTGAAAGAACAACTGGTCAAACCGATTGGAATAGATTCTGTTTGTTGTTTACAGATAGTTGACTGACATGGCGCATAGTTGCTCAGGTTCATTATTTAATCGAACAGTTTTTGTTTTAAGTGTGCTCATCGTTTGGAGTAGGTATGCACCAGTTTCAGTTAAAGTGCAGTTAACTGTAACTGTAAAACTGTCACAGTTAAAACTAGACACAACAAACCAGACTTCAACAAACTTGACACTTAACTACATGAACTGACCGATCCCGATTTTTCAATTCAGCCTTTATTGATTTTCCAGTCAACCAACAATCTCCAAAACCCGCAAACTCCTTCTGGATTTACTGGAAATCCTCAGTTTGACAAAAAACTAAGACCTAGTTTAAAAATCGACGCCGGTCAGTTCATGTAGTTTCTTTTCCTCTTTTACACAAAAAAAGAATAAGCTCTCTACAACAAACCGCTATTAAAAATCTTGGGACGCACTTCAGGTGTAACTCTTATATAGTGAAAACACTGTATGAAACACTCTCTTTTACGACTTCTAGGAAAATGCCTGTAACTTTTTGGATGCAAGATCATACAGAGTTGTGTGAAGTCTTATTTCGATCAGAAACGTTTGCTCTACAAAGCTGTGAGTTTAGAAGAATTTTAATTGCACAAGTATTCAGGAAAAAACTATTATTTTGAAGATCCGGTTTTTCGAGACTCTTCAAAAACTTGCTCAAAATCCTCGAAAAACCAGTTTTTTAACCAAAACCAATACAGTTTGTGGAAGTAGACACTTCAGGCTATCTTTCCATGTGCGTATCTCAAAACCGCTTTTTTGACCAAAAATCATCATTTCTGAGGGAGGGGGGGCCCTTAACAACATTAATGAAAAAATGGGTGACAACCGATAGAAAAACTATTATTTCGCTGTGGCTTTTGATGTGAAAAAATTTGAAGCGTAGCTAAAAGATAGAGCGAAGTGAGGGCTACAAAATGGCTAATTCAGTTTTTCTTACTTCCAAAACGTTAACACAAGAAATCATTTTGAGTTTACAAAATTTTTTCATTTTTGGAAATAGTAGCAGAAGAAAAGATTCAAGTCGAAAAATATCTTGCGTTTGCAAAGTTTTCACTTTTTTCGACTTTCATCTAAATGGCTTGTTTTCTTGATTGAAGTTCTGAAATGATAGTTTAGGTATCATTTTGTAGAGAATTTCGCAGCGCATCTTTTAAGAAAAACATCGAGTCTCGGAAACAAATTCAAAGCAAGTTATAAGCAAAATACTGAGAGGTCCATTTGTTGTGGAACACCCGTTATTATTGTCTTAACAGCAGCTAGTAATTTCATCATAAATTTATTTCGAGCTTTCGACGAATCTTTTCGTCATTTTCAAGAAACCATGAAGTAACAATAAATAAGCATTAAACACATATTTTAGCAGAATAAAGTAAACTAAATAAACACTGTATTACGATAAGTCATAGAGTGTATTGTTTGATAAACGGAAGTAAAATATTCCAGCAGAAGTCTCTAAATATAGATGTCAATATATTAGTAAATTCATTCCATTTTCACTTTTCGATTTGTGTTGTATCGAAGACCCTCTGGGAATATCACGAGTGGTACTGAACGCGTGGTTGGGTTTAGGTCAGGCTGTAATGAACTTATGGTCAAGGACTCTTTGACTAAGAGTCTATGCGCATTATTATCCTTAGAGATAATTATCCAATCTTCCCAATTTATTTTGTGTTTTGCTTCCTTCTCGTGTTCTGTCAGCGCTGATTTCAAAGTAAACTATTCAATCTCAAAGCCATTAAATCTCAACAATACGCTCACCGTTCGGACAATAGCGACGGCGAGGGGGGGGGGGGGGGTAAACGGTTTTTGGGTTTACAAAAAATGGGTGTTTTTTGAAAGCCCCGGGCCAAAACCCCGAAAGGGCCCAAAACC